GCACTGACTCTCCGTGCACTGGACGAGTCGTTAGCACATTTTGGTCCTTACCTTCAGAGGCCATGCCCCCAAATACAGTTTGGACCCTTGGAGCTTCTCTGTCCCTCCAGGACTTTGTGGTCTTCAAATCAAATGCTGTTGGTGGTACCACGTACTCGTTTCAAAACTCGCAAAGACCGAGTATTTCAGGAGGTGGCCTCGAGGCTTTGGAACGCTGCGCCACTGTCCCATCACTGTTCAGACTCTACTAACTCTTTTAAAAAACATCTACAGGTATTTTTCTTTAGACAGACTGATTTTTTTTCTGTTTTTAATTGTTTTAATTATTCTGTTTCCTGTGAAGCACTTTGTGATGCTGTCTGTTAAAAGTGCTTCTGTTTAGTGACAACTTTACCACAAACTGCAGCATTTTCATCAACCATTTCATGGACCCAGGCCCCCAGTCACACATTCAGTTTTCTGTCAGCCAAAACTAAACGCACCTCATGATGCTGATGGGCTGACATTTCTTCTTTCACCAAATCTGAAAGAAACAAAATGGAGGAGAGACCAAAGATGAATCATCATCATCATCACAGCTACCATGTTCATCCCTTCAACTTCAGCATGAGTCAACTGCTCCTCCACAAAGATGGAGTCTGTTCATCTTCAGACAGTACGACAATCAGATTTCATCTGCGAGGGGGCAGAAACTCAGACCTTTGGCTCAGAGTTTCGGCTCAGACCTTTGGCTCATCTGCTTCAACAGGCTGGGATTAAGAGGAACAGTAAGGAGGAACAGATACACAATGGCAGGTCGAGAATCTTGTGTTAAGATATAAATAGTATCAAATGAAAACTATTCAATTTTAACAAATCATTTAAGGGCAGATGAGGTCAGTTTGTCCTCCAGTAGTCTAATCCTATAGCAGCATAACAAGCCAACCCTAACTATAGGATTTATTAAAAAGGAAAGTCTTAAAACTGGACAATGTTTCAGCCTCACGGACAGAAACTGGAAGTTGGTTCCACAAGAGAGGAGCCTGAGAACTGAAAGATCTTCCTCCCATTCTGCTTTTGGAAACTCTAGGAACCACATGTAAGCCTGCAGTCTGAGTGAAGTGCTCTGTTGGGAAAATATGGAACAGTAAAGCTAAATAAAAACTAATATAATAATATATGTTGTTGAGAGCTTTGTAAGTTAGAAGTAAGATTTTGAATTAAATTCTGGATTTGACAGGGAGCCAATGGAGAGAAACTAAAACTGTAGAGATGATCTCTCCCACTAACTCCAGTTAAGACTCTGGCAGCAGCATTTTGGATCAACTGAAGACGTTTTAAAGACGTATTTGGACACCCAGATAACAAACCATTGCAATAGTCCAGTCTACAATTGACGAATGCATGAACCAGTTTTTCTGCATCAGTTTTAGATAAGACGTTTCTAATTTTAGTGATATTACGCAGATGGAAGAAGGTGGTTCTATAACATTTTTAATGTGGAGGTTAAAAGACATGTCCTGATCAAAAATAACACCAAGATTTTTAACATTAGAGCTGGAGGACAGATTAATGACATCCAAGGAGGGAGAAAGACTGAAAAATGTATTCCTAAAATGCTCTGGTCCAAAGACTAAAACCTCATTCTGTGTTCAAAAGCAGAAAATTTAGGGTCATCCAGGTTTTTTTGTCGTTAAGAGATGCTTGTAGTCTAAGTAGCTGATTGGATTAACTGGGTTTCATGGACAAATATAACTGTATCATCAGCATAACAATGAAAATTTATCCCATGCTGTTTAATAACATTACCTAATGGAAGCATATACAAAATAAAAAGTACTGGTCCAAGCACTGAACCCTGAGGAACTCCATTACTAACTTTGTTATATAAACAAGATTCATTATTTACATTTACAAATTGAAATCAATCAGATAAATATGATTTAAACCAATTTAGAGCTGTTCCTGTAATTCCAATATCACATTCAAGTCTCTGTAATAGATTATGATCATCCGTATCAAATGCAGCACTGAGGTCCAACAGGACCAGTGTAGACACCTGTCCATTGTCTGAGGCCATGAGAATATAATTAGTAACTTTCACCAGTGCTGTTTCAGTGCTATGATGAGCTCCAAACCCTGACTGAAACTCCTCAGATTATTTCTTTGCAGATGTTCACACAACTGACCTGCAACTATTTTCCCTAGAATTTTTTTAGATGAAAGTTTATGATGAAAGTACTCCAACATCTGGATCTAGAAATTAATCTTTTTTTTTTTACTTCTGTATTTATTAAATCTTGGTGTTCAGGGGTTTAACTGAAACACTCAGAAAATGAACTTTTATAACATTAAATGAAATAATTTCTGAAATTCTCACCTGAAGCTTTCGGCTGCTCTTCAGTTAAGCAAATGAAGCTGATCCGGAGCAAACCGCAGCTGAAATGACGATGAAGAAGATCAACATCTTCATTTGGAGGTGGATGCGAGCAATCTGATTGGCTGAAGCCTGGTGTAATGACGTCGCCTGCTTCCTGCTTCTCTGACGAATCCATTATCTCCGAATGAAAGGAGGCCTTCAAGAGGAAGACCAGCACATCTTCTGAGGTTCTGGACCGGTCCTGCTGATGGTTCCGGCTCCTCGGAGACCAGCTGCTTTGAAATCTGGAGCACGTTTTCTCTGCTCGTCCTGATGCCTGACGGGATGATCAGGAGCAAAAACACCGACAGATGTTTCTGTTTTGTTTCCTTCAAATTAATTATTTTATTATTTTCATAAAAACTCCCATTTTTTTAAATACATTTTCCTCTTTCATAACGACTCGTCGGTTCTCTGTAAGTTCTTTGAAACAAACAATTCAGAGAGTTTCATTAAGACTCGTCCACTGGTTGGGAAGATATTTTGCTAACAGACACAGTATTGCTCAGAGGATGTGTTGGGGATCATTTCACTTAATACCACACTGAATCGATGCTCAACATCTGTAAAGATCGATGTGGTTGTAGCTTTTTGTATTTGCTACTGTCAGTTGGTTGTGGCGGCCATCTTGAATTGAGTTGACATCAAAAGTAAATCAGCTGATCATGAGATATTTTGCTAACAGACACATAAACAGGGTGAAGCAGATACATTATGGTGGCGACATCAACGTTAAGATTCAGCGCTCAGAGGCGTCTACGTATACATGTCTGGTTAAACACTTCAGAGTAAATATTAAGGGCTTAAAGAATTATTGGATAATAAAATCAGGTCCAAACGAGCCTTGAGGAACATTTTGAACAATATTTTATTTGTGGGGTTGGGCTGATTTTGTTCATCAGTAATTCTGGATTAGCCTCGCTGGTCATTCTCATGGTGTTGGTTCTGCTCGGTGAGGCCGGGTCGGCTGAACTGAGGCCTTCTCTCTGTCAGAGCCCGGGGTCGGGACCGAGGGAAGGACACGCAGTTTTCCCCATGAACGGAGCAGTGTTCAGGTCTCTCTGGGAACCCTTCATGTGATTCTGAGGAGCTCTGACTCATTCTGCACGCCGGTTTCTGTGGTTTTTAACATCTGAGCCAAAGTTCAGCTGCTGAGACCACAAGTTCATTTCCCAAAGGTCCCACTGTTTACGCTGCTGATGAAGTAGGAACAAATCATTAAACATCTGATCAAGTCAGGAGCTTTAAATGTTACCTGATCTCTTTATTTTTGCTCCCAATATCCAGACTTTCTGTAATCTGCTGAAGTAATCCAGATCAACAGGTTCTCAGACTTTCAGAATATCCTTTCAAAGTTTTTTTTTTTTTAATTTGGCTGCCTTTTCTCAGTTTTAGTTCTTGGACATTTGCTGAAGAATGTTTCCTAAACTCCAGAAGAACTCATTAATCTAGAAGTTTTTTTTTTTTTTCTGGGGATGAAACTTAATTTGTTCTGGATTATAAATACGATCAACTGAACAATTCATCCCAGTCTTTAACAGCCGCCTGATCTTTAACCGTATCAGATCAAATTTTGTTTAAATGTCAACGGAACATGGAGGGTAGTAACATGACGTCATTAAATACATTTATTTTTAATTCAAAACAATCTTCAAAAACTCCTCTGGTCTGAACAAACTACTGGCTGCTAACAGGTTAGCTTAACTGCAAACAGGGTGGCTACATGCTAACAGTTCAATTATGTGCAAAACGATTAGAGGTTTGGTTTCAGATTAGCTATATACTAACAGCTAATTCACCTGTTAACAGATTAGCTGTATGCTAACAGGTAATTCACCTGTTAACAGATTAGCTGTATGCTCAAAGCTAATTCACCTGTTAACAGATTAGCTGTATGCTCAAAGCTAATTCACCTGTTAACAGGTTAGCTGTATGCTCAAAGCTAATTCACCTGTTAACAGGTTAGCTGTATGCTCAACGCTAATTCACCTG